GGGGTGGGGTGGGGGGGAGAAGTCAGCCTCGGGCTCCGGCCCTTTGGTTTCCTGCATGTGTGCAACACGTACGTACGTGAGTGCGTCCAGTTGTGCTCGCACAGCCACGCAGTCCCTCACCTGGAGTACCCGGTCGGGTTGGGGGTGAAGAACTGGCTGTTGCTGGGGAGCTGGGGGCGGTTTATGGCCTAAGAGCACACGGTGCGTCCCCCTCGCGACAACATCTGGTCAGTGGCTGGACGAGACGCCCCTCGGGGAACAAAGAGCCAGTTGGGTGCAGTGGTGAAGTGCGTAGTGGACTCTAATCTGGGAGAGCCGGGTTTGATTCCCCACTCCTCCACTTGCACCTGCTGGTGGGACCTTGGGTCAGTCACAAGTTCTCTCAGAGCTGCCCCACCTACCTCACAGGGTGTCTGTTGTGCGGAAGGGAAAGGCGTTTGTAAGCCGCGTGAAGGGCGGGGTATAAATCCAGTCTCTTCTCCTTCTAAATATGTTCGATGGAGTTCTTTCATGATGGGAGAAAGATAGAATACAAATGTAGCAGTAGTGATAAAAAATTAAACTGCCCTTTTTTGTGTGGGCTGTCTGTTACAGTTATTTTTAGTAACAGCGTTCCATGCGCATTGGTGTTTAGTCATGCCAGCCATATGACCACAGAAACGTCTTCGGACAGTGCTGGCTCTTCAGCTTTGAAACGGAGATGAGCACCGCAACCGTAGAGTCGGATTCGACTGGCTTTCGAGCAGGGGAACCTTTACCTTTTACTGTTACTGAGCTGGATCACCATTCTAGACTGATTTGCCCTTCATTTCTGACAACAAAAAGCAGCTGGTGAACCTGATTTGAGATGGGAGTACCCAAGCCATTTATATCAGCTTCTGCTTGGTAGGATAGCGGATGTGCAAAGAGTTCTTAGGCAATTCTTTGTTTTAAGTTCTTTACCATGGACAGAGATTCAGTAGCTGATTCCATTACTAAACTGCTGTATCAATTAAGTATTTACAATTATAGTTGATTGTAAAAACTTATCGTAGTTACTCACCTTGTAATATTTTAAAGCTGTGTATACTGTTTTGCATCATGTGGCTAAAGCAAAAAGCAATCTTGTGGCTCTTTAAACACTGTTAAGCTATAAGTTTGTGTTGGCTAGCCCACAACCACTGTTAGTCTCCTAAGGCTTGTTTTCTTGTCAATTTGTTCACTTCCCTGAGTACCTAGTAGAAGATCAGGATAGAACTGTACTAAGAAAGGTGCCACAAAGCTTTGTTTGTGCTCTAAAAGACACTGTTACCATCCCTGGAATTTGTTAACAGTATTTGGTAAAATCTTCAGAGGCTACGGTCACACGGGCAGGAAAATGCAGGGGGAAGTGTGGCTGTTTGCCCCCGGAGCAAAATAATGCACGGCTGCCCGATGAGGTCCCCTGGTTAGGGGGGAGGTGCTGATCACAGGACATTCCTGTGGCGGGCAAAGAAGCGGCCTCTGCGGGTTTAACCCCTTCCAGGGCTGCAGAGGAATGCAAACTGTGTCCTCCGTCCGGTCCCCTCCAGGAGGAGCTTCAACCGGACTGCCCTCCCGCCACCCCCCCCCCCCGCCCCCCTCCACCTGCCCCCCGGTGCAGAGAGTTCGGAAAAGAGGAGGGGGCTGTGTTGTTTGTTTTTAAACGAAGTGTGCGCATGCGCCATTGGGTGCTTGTGCGCATCCCGTGGAGACTTGGGGGGGGGAAGCTTTTAGCGAGGGGACATGGGCGGGTGCTGGATGCCACGGACTACCACTGGAAACGCGATCAGGTGCCCGCCCTTGCCCCACGGTTTCCGGAAACTAGTACCTCGGAGGTACTAGTTTTTTACCCTGCATCTTCTGCGGGATGCCTCGGGTTCACCACCGGAGCTCTACGCTTCCCAGATGTGGCGCTGTGATCTCGCCTGGAAAATCTGCCTATCTTCTGTCTCTGTAGCGTGGCTAATGCTCCGTGTGACCGCAGCCAGAGTAGCTCTTTAGCTGTTTCTGTTGTTGAAAGGTAAAGTAGAGGTATGTTAAGGTGTGAAACCAGCTGTTATTTGATTCATTCACAATGCAATCACCTTTAGTGGACTTAAGGGGTAACTGTTTAAGATGACACTGTTAGTTATTTTGTAACTGAGATTAAATATTGAATGAGCTAAGAATCCTATATAGGCTTTTCTGTTTGCATCAAACTTTGATCAGCCATTTAAGTCAATTTATCAGTTTGACTCTAGTTTACTTTTACATCATAGCTATGAAAGAGACATGCTAGGGTAATTTGTAACAGCAAAAATCCTTAAATGTATGTCTCCATTTTGAAATAGAACATTTCAAGAAACATATATGCCAGCGACACTTCATAAATACTCTTGGTAGTGCAGCATTTATTTTTCAGTGAGTCTTGAGTCCCAAAGTTCTGTTGCCCGAACTTTGCATTTTTACCAACAGATAATCAAAACAGCACTAAAATGTTCTAGTGTGCTCAGTTTCACAACTGAAGCTACTAGACAGAACTTAAGCCTTGTGGTGTCCTAATCCTGTGCCATGTATACTGTAAACTGATGGTTATGTGGGTGTTCCTGGAATTCTGTATCTTAAGGCATCAAGAATTACCCATGGGTGTGATTTGTATATATGACATGCCTCTTCAAGACTTCAGGCTTTAAAAAGTTTATCTCATCACATGCACAGCCTCTTACTAGGACAATACTACTAAATGTTAATTTGGAAAAAAAATAGTGTCTGTTTCTAGTTTAACCGAGATAACAATAGTAAGCCCTATCAATAAATTGGGATATTGAATCATTCTGTATAACCTCAAACTCTTCAGTAGTACATTGTCATTGCACGCAAAGTGTCATCATAACTGTGAACAAAATGAGTCATGTGAAATACATATTGTTGTTTGTTGTTCAGTCGCATAGTCGAGTCCAACTTCGCAACCCTATGGACCACATCACGCCAGGCCCTCCTGTCTTCCGTCGTGCTCCTTAATTTCATGTCCGTTGCATCAATAGCACTGTCCAACCATCTCATCCTTTGCCGTCCCCGTCTTCTTTGACCTTCAATCTTTCCCAGCATCAGGGTCTTCTTCTCCAGTGAGTGCTCCCTTCTCAATTGGTGGCCAAAGTCTTTGAGCTTCAGCTTCAGTATCTGGCCTTCCAGAGAACAGACAGGGTTGATTTCTTTTAGGATTGACTGATTTGATCTCCTTTCAGAAGATGCTGGCTGGGTTGGCTGGCTGCTTTGCGGAGTCTCGCCCACGTCAGCCCCAGCCAGCGTCTTCGGCTCACTCTGCTCTGGTCCTCGGATAGGACAGGACCGTCTGCAGGGAGCTGGGAAGCACTCTAGAGGCCGCGGGGAGACATTTAAATGTCTCCCCGGGGCTTCTCTGGCTGGGCCGCTTCAGCAGCCCAGCCGGAGAAGCACCACAGAGTCGCCATTTCCCTCACCCCATTTTTGTCGATCCCCCCCCCAGCCTTCAGCACCGATGTCCGTCCCCGGGGCCCGGCTGGCCCCGCAAACACCACCGGCATGGCCCCGGCCAGCACCCACACAGGGCCCGCCACCAACTCCGTTCCTGCCAAGCCGTGCTCCCACATCGCCAGCCACCGCCTCCAGCAGTCCTGCGGGTAAATCGGTTGCAGCTGCCCCTGGCCTTTCTAGGCCTCGGGGCAGCCTGGCCTGCTTCACCGTGAGGAGAGAGGGCAGCAACAGGCCCCACCGCGCTGCTTCTTCCGGCCGCCGGGGGGAGCAGGTGAGTGGTGGCGGCGGTGCTGAGCCAGCCACTGCGGGTCCGTTTTCTCCACTACCCCCCCTTCTCCACTCTCCCTATCTCCCTTCCATTTTTTCCCTCTCTCATTCTTCCTCCTCATTGCTTTGACTCTTTCAATCCTCCCTCCATCTCTGCCTGTCTGTCTTTCTGACTGTCTCCCCCCCCCACCCTTCTTCCTCCCTCCCTCCCTCCCTCCCTCTCTCTCCCAACCCCTCCGTCCATCTATCTATCTACCACCCACCCAACCGCTCTACCTTTCTAGGGCCCGTTGTCTTCATCCACAACGAACTTTGGTCCCTAGTCTCTAAATAAAGTATTCACTGCCAAAGTGTGTGTGGAGAGTTATTTGACTGGGAACCTGACAGGGACTCTCAAGAGTCTTCTCCAGCACCATAATTCAAAAGAATCTATTCTTTGGCGCTCGGCCTCCCTTATGGTCCGACTCTCGCAGCCATACATGACTACTGGTAAGAATACCATTGCTTTGACCATACGGACTTTTGTTGGCAGGTTGATATCTCTTATTATTATGCTGTCTAGGTTTGCCATCGCTTTCCTCCCAAGGAGCAGGTGTCTTTTAATTTCATGGCTGCAGTCACCATCTGCAGTGATCTTGGATTCCAAAAACGTGAATTCTGTCACTGCTTCCATGACTTCCCCTTCTATTTGCCAAGGAGTGATGGGGCCGGATGCCATGATCTTAGTTTTTTGGATGTTGAGTTTCAAGCCAACTTTTGCACTCTTCTCCTTTACCCTGAGCAAGAGGCTCTTTAGGTCCTCTTCACTTTCTGCAATTAGGGTGGTATCGTTTGCATATCTGAGGTTTTTGATGTTTTTCCTGGCAATTTTAATTCCCGCTTGTGATTCATCCAGGCCGGCATCTCGTATGATGTACTCTGCATATACATTAAATAAGCAAGGTGACAATATACATCCTTGTTGTACTCCTTTTCCTATGCTAAATCAGTTGTTCCATATCCGGTTCTAACTGTTGCATCTTGACCCTTATATAGGTTTCTCAAGAGACATGTGAGGTGGCCTGGTACTCCCATCTTGTCATATAAGCAATAAATTATATATCCTTGGCAGATACTACCATCTTAAATGTCTTTTTCTAAATCAAAATCCGTTTATGAAACATTAGTGTTTCCCCACTCTAAACTTTCATTCTCAGCATTGGATACAAAGTACCACAAATGGAGTGGGACTTTCTGACTTCTACTTCCTGCTGGTGGCCACTGAGTCCTTTGACATTTTCCTTCTGGGGGTCGGGGGCCCTCTTGAAGAGGATAGGGAGTGAAGGTGATTTTGGGGAAATGGCAAACAGTCTCTTCCCTGTCCATTAGCTCAATTGCCATTTTGTTGGTGGAGCAGCTCTTGTGGGTCTAACCTTAACAGTCAAAGGACTGAAGGTTTGCATGGATATAGCACGCTTCTCTATTCTCTCCTATGTTCGCTTGGTTCTTGTACTGTTGTGTGCATTTCCAAACACAGACTACTTTCCTTTAGATACGTCAGCAGATGGAGGCATCTGACACAGGCAAGGGGTATTCAGAATTGTATATTTTTGTAGAATATAAGAACTGTAATTACCTAATACTGTAGATTGTCTTGTATAGCTATTGGAAAGCATTTTGAAAGGGTAGAGGACAATAAAATCCTCCTAGGGCAGATTTTGGAGAGTGGAGATATAAATCTTTTAAGCAAATAAATGAATTTAAAAGTTTAAATCTTGCCTTGGAAAGGATTTCACTGTTAGTATTAAAAGAGAACATATTTCACGAGAGCTCCCCCCCCCCCAGTCTAATTTTCTGCATGGGCATTTACCTTTTTTGTGCCTTCTTCTTTTTGTAGTTTCTAATGAGGTGCCTGAGCATCCCTGTGTGTCTCCAGTCTCGAACCATGTCTATGAGCGAAGACTGATTGAAAAGTATATTGCAGAGAATGGAACTGACCCAGTGAACAACCAGCCATTGTCTGAAGAGCAGCTCATAGACATTAAAGGTGAGGAGGCCTGCAGCCAAGTTTCTCACATTTCCCTCTTTTGTGATACTTTGGGGGGAATGTTTTGATCTTCTCATTCTTTGAATTCTTGAAATCTGATTGATACAAGGGTGTTGTATGTGAATGGTAGAAACAGTTCCCTAGGAAGTGTATGGCCTCAACAGTGCAGAAGGTCAGGAGCAGTGTACCCTCTAAGCTGAGTTAGTGTGAGCTAGCTCACAGTTTTTTAGCCTCTGGCTCACACACGTTTGTCTTAGCTCAAGAAGGATGGCTCCAGAGCAAACTAACTTATGCAGTAGCCAAATCGCTCGCTCACAACTTTAATGCCTGTACCTCACATAGCAGACTTTTTGCTCACAAGACTCCACAGCTTAGAGGGAGCATTGGTCACGAATGGATCATCATGAGATGATCAATGCTTCCACTTCATTCCCTCTCTTCCTTCATCCATATGTGCCTCCTTGCCTCCAGGTCTTGCAGTTAACCCTTCCACATGGCTGCTTGACATCCTAGTGTATGGCTGGGATGAGGAGAGAGCCAAAGGGCAAGTATGTTGTTCTGGAATGACAGTGGAAGCTGCAGCTGAACTGCTTGCAAGGCCCATGCCATTTATGAACAGCTGGTTTAGCCATCCTTGGTATTAAAAGTGGCAGAGGGGACAGTGATGGTTATTTCTCCAGGTGGGTGGCTGTGTTGGGCTGAAGCAAAAGAACCAGGTTTGAGCCCAGGTGCCACCTTTAAGACCAACAGAGTTTAATTCTGGGTATCGGCTTTTGTGCGCAAGGCACACTTTCCCTGATACACCGAAAGAGATTTCCTCAAGGTGGAGAGGGTTTGGGGTAGGGGGTTAGTTGCCAGGAAGGGCTAGTTAGAGTAGAGACCATAGGGTGCCACTGGACACTCAGGCTTTGTTTGGTTACTTCTACAGTCAATGCTTACTTGATCATGTCATTCACAGTTGCCCACCCAATTCGACCAAAGCCACCCTCTGCTACTAGCATCCCAGCAATTCTGAAGGCACTTCAAGATGAATGGGTAAGTATCTATTTCTTACTGTTGCATTGTAGAAAGAATTCCTCATCTGTTCACTGATGTGATAGAACTGAGAATGGTCTCTCCACTTTCCAGCAGAAGGAGACCTCTTTCTGTGTGACTTGGGCAGTTATGCTGAGGTTACCACCCTGTTTAGAGTGAAAGAAAGCAAGACATTGCTGTGTTATAATGTTTGGGCAAGGAGGAAGGAGATTTCTAAGCCAGGAGTGGTTTCATCCTTGGCAAAACCAGTAGAGTGCAGGGTTAGGGTGAGACATCAGATAAACTGCCAGCTGTCACTGCAACATAACCCCCCCCCCCCCCAAATAACCCTATTTACGTTCTTCAGGATGCTGTCATGCTGCATAGTTTCACACTGCGGCAGCAGTTGCAGACCACACGCCAGGAACTCTCTCATGCTCTGTACCAGCATGATGCTGCCTGCCGTGTCATTGCCCGTCTCACCAAAGAGGTCACTGCTGCGAGAGAAGGTGAGACACAGAGATGGTCGTTCAGCCCTTAGTGGTGCCTGGTCTAGAGGGATAGTTCCTGTGTTAGTCCTTCATGTCAATCATTGTTTAACCTGCTAAACTGTCTTTTTTTTTTTTTTACTTCTGTGCAGCTCTGGCAACTCTGAAGCCACAGGCTGGTCTCATTGTCCCCCAGGCTGCACCTTCTTTGCAGCCCAATGCTGTGGTAAGTTCCACACGTCTGTCTGTCTGTCTCTCTGACTCCTGTGTTCATGCTCTGTCTCCTTCCTCTGGATTCACAAGTGCTTTCTTTTCTTTTTGCAGGGTGCTGTTGAGCCAATGGACTTGGGAGAACTGGCAGGAATGACCCCAGAGATTATCCAGAAGGTAAGAGACAAGCTTGACTCAGGATTTTCCATCTCTCTTTGCTCTCGCTATTGTTGTTATGCTGACTGCGCTCCAGACTATTGTGTTTTCCTTTCTAGAATATAGCCGTATCTGATTGTCCCGTATCATTTGATGCTGTAATATGCCATGCTTGAGCACAGTTCTTCCTAATAATCTTTTATCTTGCAGCTTCAAGACAAAGCCACAGTTCTGACCACGGAGCGTAAAAAGGTAAGTTTTACTGGAAGGAGGGGCCACAAGTGGTTCTGCTGAGTGTATAGAAAGGAGTTGCTGCTTCCTGGATAGGCTGGCAGGACATCCCTGTTCCAGGAGAATGATTTCCATGTTTGTTTTGCCAGAGAGGAAAGACTGTGCCGGAGGAACTGGTGAAGCCTGAAGAACTAAGCAAGTACCGGCAGGTGGCTTCACATGTGGTGAGTACTGTGCTCCTGGTTCATGGGGAAAGTTGCCTTGAGGAGTCAGATGCTGTAGGCCACAGGCTTTCTAACTTTTACTGGGTGCCTGTTGCAGCCAAGTACTTGGGCTTCCTCCCTGCAGTCCATTTTAACCCACCTTAACGATTCTGCCATCAGTTAACCAATGCTGTAAGCTTTACCCAAGCCTGGGAGCAATCTAGCCTGGAGTGAACCAGGTTCTGAGCTTTTGAGCCAGTTTGGTGTAGTGGTTAAGTGTGCGGACTCTAATCTGGGAGAACCGGGTTTGATTCCCCACTCCTCCACCTGCACCTGCTGATGTGACCTTGGGTCAGCCACAAGCTCTGGCACAGCTGTCCTTTGAAAAAGAGCCCTTTGTGTCAGAGTTCTCTCAGCCCCACCCACCCCACAGGATCTCTGTGGTGGGGAGGGGA